CTAAGACGATTTTCATAAGTAGACAAAGTTGTGAAAGGAAACGGTGTCCAATGAGAAGAGTAGGAAAAGCCCAGTTACTTCCACTCTTACTTTCTTTCTCATAGCCTACGAATTTGTTCATCTTAACCAAAAATCTGTATCAAGTAAATTTAGTAGACTTTGATCTCTTTCAAAGCAAGCTGTTCAAAGCTCCACTCTAGGCCTGCTTAGTTCCTCCTAGACAGGACCTGCACAGATAGTTTTTTAATGTCTTTGTTTTGAAACTTGTTTATTAATTAAGTTTGCTAGTTTACAGCTTCATCCTTACATATAATCCATCCTGATGGTGCCCATCTCAACTCCCCCACACACCTCAGCCCTACAAATCCCTTTGCCACATTCAAGTCTTTGTAACATTTGTTACTTCAAAACATCAGTACTTGAATATAAGACCTCTCAGCTATTCTAATGCAAGTGCTTAGTCCCGCCTCCCAGTAAACATCCACCTTAGCCCTCATTTAAATCAAAATCCACAACCACCTTCAAAAATTACAACAGGAAGACAAGAGAAGAACTAATGGGGCCGACTAATGAGCGGAGGCATGTGTCTCTGGGCCAGCTCTGAGACCGTGCATCTGTCTGTCTAGGGCTCCTTCTCCAGAGCATTGTTAATTATTTAAGTGAGAGAACAGGGGGACCCATGGCCACATCTGCCACCTTCACAGTGAAGCCTTCCTTCACTCACAGGCCAGATGTGTTTATCTGAAACACAGACTAACTAGCTGTTTAATGGGGTTGAATCCTTAGCCAAGAGGCAATTAGGCAAACGTATTAAATATCAGTCTCCTTACAAGGCTACACTGTTTCAGTTTTGCTGGTTTTGATTCAATCTCAGAAGAATTAGTCACCTACAGAGAGTATCTGAAGAGAAGTCAAGGCAAAGGAAACAGTTTAAATTATGTGAAGCTTACTAAGCAGAGCAAATGGTGATGCCTCCCAGAACAGGAAATAATCACAATGTTCCCGAAAAGTGCCTCCACGATTAACTAGAATCTGATGCCAAAGTAAAATAAAATGGTTCAAAAGCAATTCTTTCAGATGGATCTCCATCCCCGAACATTCTGTACCTATGAGTAAAATACTAATAGCAAAAACTAAATAAATGATGGCTTTTCACAACCAATATTTATCATTATGTATGTAATTTTTAAAATCGTGCATCTGAAGTATTTATCCTATCTGCAAAGCATGAAAGGATGTCAGTAGTGGCTACAGTACACTATTCAAGGAGAGAGGAAAAAAAAACTTAGGCCTAGGAGCCTGCTGCAAGTTTGATCCCTGAGAGCCACATGAGGGAAGGAAAGCTAAAAGCTGTTCTGTGACTTCCCCGTATACCATGGCAGGTGCACAGGACTGGCCTGCACGGCACACCCACACATACAGTGATAAGCAAAAGTCAAAGTATCTTTTTAAAGTTTAACAAATGCCTGGCATATTTTAAATGTAACTATAAATATAAATTGCATGCCATTTCATTTTATAATTATTTGAGAGAATAATTGAAGTGTCCTCTTTAATCATTCACTTATTTAAAAGTTTCATAAATTTCTGTCTTTGTCAACGGTACTTAATGCTAAAATAAAATTCTGACCATTTTTTTTTTATCCCTGTCCCTCCATAAGAAATCAAATGACCTCTTTTTATTCTTTATTTTTATTGGTAAACAAAACTATCTGAGAAAAATGTAATCGCCTTTCAACCATCAAATGCTTGGTGAATTAACACTAAAATTTACTAATTATTAATAATTAAATTGCTGTGGGAAAATGGTCTGTACCGTCACTAGTATTTTAAATAAACACTGTTTGGCCAGTGGCCAGGCAGGAAGTAGAGGTGGGGTGACCAGGCAGGAAGTAGAGGTGGGGTGACCAGGCAGGAAGTAGAAGTGGAGCAACGAGAATTCTGGAAAGAGGGAAGTTTCAGTCTGCAGTCGTCACCCAGCCACAGAGGAAGTCAGACATAGAGCAAGAAAAATGTGACTGCCAGGCCAAAAAAGGCACCAAGCCACGTGGCTAACACAGACAAGTATTATGGGCTAATATAAGTCATAAGAATTAATAAGAAGCCTGAGCTAATAGGCCAACCAGTTTATGATTAGTGTATACCTCTGTGTGATTCTTTAGGACTGAACGAATGTAAGAACTGGGTAGGACAGAAACCTCTGTCAACATTCGATTCCTAATAATTTACTGAATGGTGAGCACTGGGTAAACGCAAGGGAGTCTACAAGAAACAAGACTCAGTAGCAGTTGTCTTAACAGAAAGGAGATGCAATAATTATAAGGGCTTGGGAGAAAAATCATAACATGTAAAGGGAATAAGGAGGTCACTTAATGAGAAAGAGTACCTAGGAAGGGTTTTTACATTATCGAGAAGGTGGCATTTGAACAAGACTTAAGGAGATAAGAAAACACCATTCTAAGAAGAGGGACCAGCAAGTGCAACAGCACTGATGGAAGTGTAAGCTGATGGATTAAGAGATATGAGAAAGGATAGTGTGGCCATAGCAGAGCAAAGAAGCAACGAAGAGATGAGGTCTGAGGAAGGGAGGGTCTGGTTCCTTAGGAGAACACTGCCAACTCTGCTTGTGTGTGTGAGGAAGATAATCCCAGTAATCCTTCCTGAAGGGATGACACAGCCTATCTATTTCAATAGGATCCCTGAAGTCAAGGGTAGAAAGAGAGAGGCAAACAGAGAGATGAATGATGGCAGCATGAGAGGACATGACTTTGCCTAGGATGACAGTAATGACAGTAGTGGAGGTTGTGAGCTGAGAAGCTTCGTTTCGGGAGTAAGTGCCAGGTGAGTTCACTGAAGAGTGGAGCATAAACTAGGAACAAATCAATGATGATTCAAAAAGTTTTTTACCTGAATGACAAGAAAAAACAAAGATGTTATAGCCAATGAAAAGACTAAAGTATAACTTGAGACTGGGACATTCCAAGATCTAGTAAACAGATCTAAACTCCAGTGGTTTTTCATGGCTAATACAACAAAATCACTGAGTGCTATACACTGTCTATACACGAAAAACTAAAATTACCAGAATGTCCGATTCAGTCATAGGCAGGTCATCATTGACACTAGACTATCACACAGAACACACACAAACATTGTATAATAGTCTTACTTCTGAAGTTATATGGTATAGCCTATTCCATTTTTTTAAAAAAAATATAAAACTTGTACCACTTGATCTGATTCGTATGACCAGAGTGTTGTTCAATAACTTCCAAATACAGTGAGTGCTGACATTTTCACAAAAGCCAAGTACTCAAGCTGACTGCAAAATATGAAAACTGTTCTCTTTGATTCCATGGAAGGAAACATAATCTTCAAAGTGTGAACACTAATTTTGAATTGAGATTTTAGCTTTTGGTGTTTAATAATTTTATGATCTGTGAAAAGATGAACATTAAGTAATTCCATCCGTCATATCATCATTCTAAACTATTGCAGTCATCGCTATCAAACAGAGAACATCTCAACCTTATATAGTTATTTGCTGCATATTAAGGGGCATGAGAAAAAATCAGATAGAAATACTGTTACTATAAAAATTGCTGTGCATTGACGATTCAAATAAAAGTTCTTCTTCTGAACTAAAAGTTTCTGATTTTAACCAGTTATCTTCAGAGTTTACAGTCACACACACAGACACATCACACCCACAAATAATGAGTATAGAATTAACTTAAATGGGAAATAAATTAAGGTACAAATTAATGAAAATGTGTACTTAATCATATGTACCATGAACCACATTCCACTTGCTTTTATCTTTAATAATTATTAAATTTCATAGCAAATATTTAAAAAATCTTATTTTGGAACTCTGTGTGTGTGTGTGTGCACGTGTGTGTACATTCAGTACTCTGAAGTTCAAAATAATGGGTGTGACTGATTATCTGGAAGTTTTCACAATGATTCTCAAACTCATCTGTACAATTTTACATTATATTTCATCAATATTCATGACCAAGATATAGTACACATTAATATCTTCAACCTATTGAGGTTACGGTTTTAGCATTAATTTATAGTTTAACATTCAATCTGTGCAGTGTGGGAGGTACTAAGGTCTTTGTGCTCACGAGTAAGCACTAGGGCCAATAGGAATGCTAAACACACAGGACTGTTCCTTCAAAGGAAGAAATACATAACCTGTTATCCTGCCAGAAGGTTGGGAGCTGAACTGGTTAGGAGCATGGTATCCTATTGCATTATCTGTGTTGCTAAGACCACTCCAGAGTCTCCCCAAGATTTTTACTATGAGCTTGTCAACCTACAGAACATATCTTTATGGAATGTGCCACATCTACTTTACAAAAAGTGTTAATAGCATCACATCTTAAAGTTTATGGTGCACATGGGACTGAATCAATTTTCACCAGGAAAGTTTTCACCAAATTGTGCTGTGCTTAAATATGTCTGAAATAGACTACTCAAAATCAGGCTCCTGAAGTTTGAACCATCACAAGCTCCTTAGTTGTGCTGAACCAAACTGCATTCTTGTCTTTCCTAGATCCTTATTCTGCTGGCTGTGGTGGCTGCAGAGACCCACTTAGTACAGTTAAAAATTATTCGTAATAAATTTAACAATCAGACTTGGTGGCTGCACACTTGCAATTTCAGCATTAGAAGGTAAAAGCAGGAGGACCAGGAATTCAAAGGCAGCCTCTTAGTAAAATGAGCCAAAACTTAGTACATTTGAGGTCACCCTTCACCTTGTCCTCAAAAGACAGAATAAACAAACAAAGTAACAATGTGAATTGTCATTTTATAGTTATTTGTTGCATTTGGGTTTTGTTTTGATTTGGTTTGGTTGTTGTTTGTTTTTAATCAGTGAAGAAGAGTTGTTATCAGGAGTGAGGACACACACACACATACAGATACACATATACACACATACACAGCCCAGGAGCTGAACATCCCTGTTGAGTTGTTGATGGCATACTTACTCTCCAGCTTTGTGCAGGACAGGTGCGGGACAAAGTATGGAATTGTACTGAACAAGTACTGGTTTTTCACCTAAAAAAAATAAGATGCGATTTAGTTAGTAAAGAGTTGTATATCTCTAGCACAGCCTCATTCAAATAAAAAAAAAAAGGCAAGCATTACATAACAAGACTTCAGTGGGGAATACAAGAAAGGTCAGCAACATCTGTTAAAGCCTAGCTAAAAAGGTAAAACCGAGAAAACTGAGAAATGAAGAGTTAGAACATCTTGATGCAAAGATATGATAAATCATTAAGTTTGGATTTTTTTTAGCTAAGTTAATAGTATACATATACAACTTTTTCTCTGTTCCAAATATATCAGACTTTCAAAGATAAAGTAGATATTGTTTCTAAGAAACAGAACTTCGAAAGACTGGAAAACAGAAGAGTTGTGGCTAAGTTGACAAGATGGCTATCGCTACACCACATAAGCACATCCTAGCAAGCTGGGTGCTTAACCCCTGTGGAGCTTTAGCATAAGTGTGAAAATTCATCTGGCAATGAAATGGCTGGAAACATTTACATAAGCAAATGGATTGGCTAAGAATGTGAGTGATAAAAAAACAATTTCACCTCCACCAAATTGAGTGTTGTCAATAAAGTGACTCTCGTCAATGTGTATATTATAATCGGCCCAAATATGCAATCCAAAGAAGTCATGTAAATCTAGCACTTACATACTAATAACTGTGGAATAGAAATAAAGTTAGTCGTCCCTGCTCAGCTGTGTTATGTATTATGAGTTTAGCCCAAATCCAATGGTGTTCCTGATACAGAGAACGGAGAATAATGACCATATTTACCATGCTGAAACTCTCCCTGCTTTAATTCAACAAGCACACAAGTGGCTGATTATTGCCAAACCTGATGCTGATTTCAATACCATCAGAGAAACAGCAAAGCTACAGCTGAATCTCGTTAAAAAACAGCTAGACCAGAGTTCATAAATTAAAGGCAAAAATACACACTGATTGGGGAAAAAAATGTTTTACTAGCAGACCAACACACTCAGGAAAGCAAGTCCTACTGATGAGATGACTATCATCCCACTCGATCTGGTGAACACTGAGGGCCTGAATGGCCAAGAGCATAAGAGCCAAGCCAAACAATACTGAAAGAAATTAAAGAAACTGAAAAGTTATTGGACACGAAAATGTAGAGAAGAGATGGCAAAAACAGTAATTGTAAGGCAACAGGTAGTGAAGTAGTCCAATGATGCAATTCCTTTTTAAGACAAGAGTAGCAAAATGTAAGTCTAGACAGGGGACATTTGATCACAGGACTGATGTCCTTAGTCCAAAACCTGGGTGCGCCTGTCATTAGCTGTCTCACCACAGGAGGAAGGACATTTTACTCACCACCAACCATCTCCTGAATGTTGACATTGCTTAGGGCATAGGCTAGAGTTTATGAAGTAAAGAACAAATGTTGTCACTACTAAATAATTATTACTCTGTGTATTACTAAGGAGGTTTCATTACTTCTCTGATGAAAAATTGTAGCATTGCAGGTTTAATTCAAGAAAGAAAGAGGGAGAGAGGGAAAATGGAAGAAGGGAGAGAGGGAGAGAGAGAGAGAGAGAGAGAGACAGAGAGAGAGAGAGAGAGAGAGAGAGAGAGAGAGAGAGAGAGAAATGTTCCAGGCTGCAGAGATGGCTCAATGACTCAATGACTAAGAGCACTTGCTACTCTCCCAGAGGACCTGGGTTTGGAGCCCAGCATCCACAAGGTAGCTCACAACCATCTATAATTCCAATGTCAAAGAATCCAATGTCTTCTGGGCTCTGGAGGCACCAGGCTCTCGGTAGGCACAAACATTTGTGCAGGCAAACACTCGTACACATGAAATAAAAATAAATACTTTTAAAAGCACAAAAATCCTCAAGATTGTGTGCAGTAAAAACATTCATGTGCCATGGGATTCCCGGAGACTCACTCTTCGAGTAGGTGCTGTTCACGGTGAATGTGCAGAGGACATTGCCGTCATGACTGCTGGATGTGACTGCTCTCCCACTCAGAACAACTTGAAACTCCTCTAGAGATATAAAGAAAGGTAAGCACTGTAACCAGTGTTTTACTGAAAACAACCAAAGCATCAAGAGCTTTAGAATACATTTCTTCATTCTCTCCTAACTGACAACCATGAAGATGCGACTCCAGCCAAGATTGCCTTCCTAGGTTGTCTAGGTGGGTACAGCAGAGATGACATTCACTGTCACATGGAACGGTTATCTGGTCTTTATCTGAGTGTTTTCCAATAGTAACCCAAGTATTAGAATTAAAATATAGTAATAACTACCTGGCTTATCTTAATTCCCAGAATCCTGTTCTCACAACTTTTTGAAAAAAGAATGCTCTCTTTCTCTTTCCACTCTCGGCATAAAGTTCAGGTGGTACACAAAGGAAATGTACTTAAAATCTAATAGAGGTTCTGTCTCCTGGGTCACGGACAGCCGTGACAGTGCCTAGAGGAAGTTGATTTACTGTCTCCCTATCTACACTGTAAGAATATACACTAAATGTCAGAGAATGAAAGAATATACCATGAGGAAAGTTGACAGACAAACTCTCTGATAGGCTGAGAGTACTTCCTCTTTGACTACAAGAGCATATGTTAGCCATTACAATGGTGATGGCCTCTTGTCCCAAGGACAAACTGAACCATAAGAAATTTCAGAGAATTGAGCTGATCAAATTACAGTTTAGGAATTGGGCAGCTCCCAGTCAAAGGTAGTTTGGGAGCTCCAACAAAAATTAAATAAATAAATTCAGCAAAGTTTATTTATTAGGAAGCTAGAGGATGCTGAGAGCAGAAACCTGTCCACTAACTGTGATGCTCTGCGGAAGTCCAGGAGACAGTCTCCCTGTCCTCCAGACTCAGCGTTTCTCCTTTTCTAAGTAAAGCTCTGCCAAAATGAACTCCAGGTCAAACAGGAAGAAGAAAAAAGATCAGGGTGAAGCAGACTGCCTGGGCAAGGATGTCTGGGAGGTGGGGACCTGAGCCTTGAGCAGCAGCTGATGACGCCACCTGCTTCCTTCCTGCACTCTTCTCCTAAGTCACTTCCATATGTGCCTGGAGCTGGTAGATATGGTGACGTGGCCAGGTCAACAGAGCAGGCAGCTCTGTACCTTCGCATACCTGGCCACCCAATCAGACAAAAGATTCTACATTTTATTTTATTTGCCATAGGAACGGTCTCGAATATGAACTAAATATACAGAACATTATAAAAGCCTGCTGCACAATATGCTCATTATTTAAAATAACATTCGAATCTTAAAAATTTGAATTTAAAATAGAAATATTTCAAGGAATTATTTAAAATTTCTTACACAAAAAAAGATGCCAAAAAAGTTAATTTTGCTATTCTCCTTCCAACATGAGTTTTAAATCATATATTTTAGCTAGGGGAAAAAACAATTTCTTACATAGTACTTAGAAATTCTAAACACTTACCCCCAACACAGACACTTGAAGGACTCAATTCCAGGATTTCAGTACATGATTGAGCTAGTATCTGAAAAAAGATTTAAAAAAAAAGGCTAAGCTACAAGAGTAACTGTAACATGTGAATTCTGTTTATTAACCACCTTGAAGCCATCTCCCTGGTTCAAAAGATGTCAGAGAAAACTCAATTCCCCATTACACAAAGAAAGTCTTTGGAAAGACAAGTGTTATCTTGGGATATAATCTAGCATTGTACATTGTAAAATCCATATTTGTTCAGAATAAATCTAGACCAGCAGAGAAAAAATGTGCACTGCCTCAAAGTCCTTGGGTATGAACAGAGAATGAAAATTCCTGATATCAAAACCAACGCCAGCCTCTCCATGTCTGGCAGAATCAAGACAGTAAATCAAACTTCCTTCTTAACAGTGTTATTTGTTACATTTTCTGTTTTGAAGTTTAAAGATTACCAATATATAACAGCTTCCTTACTCGACAATGTGTTCCTAGTCCATTTCCCAGGCTTAATTCCCAAAGGTGCAAATCCTCCTCACGTGTCTCAAATGTCACACTTGAAGAACACAGACGCCTTGGGAAAGCCAAGCATTAATTAGTCCCAAAAATTCAGTCTGTGTTCAAGCGTGCACCAGGCACGGGAGACGAGCAGCTCCACTTACTGGGCTCCAAGTCGCAGAAGCCACCACACAAGGTCCATGGCTACCAGGGAAAAACAAGATGAAGCAAGCTGTGCTTGCTGGTCGCCACAGTGCTGCCTCTATTTTTAGAACTCCCATGCACAGCGTTATCAAAGTCAGACAAAGTCCAGATGGTCTGCTAGCAGCATTCCTCCCTCTCTGGATGGAAGTGGAAGACAGATGAAGGACAGTGGTTTTCACATCCCCTGCTTGCAACTAGACAGGATGGAAGTCCTGAGGCAACAAAAACACAAACATTTCCTCTGCTTCTTAATTACAGCGGAAATACAGACACTCCGAGTCTGAAATCATGGACCTCTCTGTGCAGAATGTGCCTCTGAACAGGAGGCAACATTTGAACTTTTGAAAGTTTTCTCCAAATGAATACTGCTTTTCAGATACCAATCACAGTCTTCAGTGACTAGGAAGCAAATCTCGTAAGATCTTACATTTGACAAAAGAAAGAAAGAAAAGGAAACTCATGGAGAGCAAAACGGGGAGCCAATGATAAAAGCTAATAGAACCTCATGGATGGTGGAATTTCAGGCCAACAACATGTTTAAATGTTTTCACAGAATCTGAGTAATAGGATTCTAAAGAAAGTGGTAGAAAAGTTTTGTGGGTTAAGTCTAACTTAAAGACTTTCCAACTACTGAAAACGGGCATGGCTGATGTAGTTTAGGCTATTGGGAGCAAGTTTTTAAAAATAGTGAGTCCTAAGTCAGCATCACCGTGTGACATAATGTAGTTGAATTTACTCAGCATCAGCTTCCTGCTCCCAAATTTGAACCTGATGTTGAGAGTAGAACTGCATCTATAAGAAGTTATTTTCTGAAAAATTACAACAGATGACATAGCAGAACCCCCCCCCCCCTTCATGCGTTTGATACGTAAAATGCAACCTCTAACTGCTTATGCTGAAAAAAATGAACTAGAGGAAGCATCAGAAATGTTTCTCTAGCCATCAGACCAACAATCACATTAGGGCCCAGGTAAGTCAAGACAGTTTGCAAGAAAAAGTAACTACTAGCCCTTCTATAAATAATGAATTTCAGAAATACAGGATGATATAATTTGAAAGTATAAAAATGAAAATTTGGGACCCTGTTGTAATAGGGGTGGTGGGGCTGGGTCCCCAGCACCCTGGCCGCCTGCTAGCTTATGCCCCAAAATAATTACACGGAAACTGTATTCTTTTAAACCCTGCCTGGCCCATTAGTTCTAGCCTCTTATTGGCTAGCTCTTACATATCGATCTAACCCATTTCTAATATCCCTGTTACACCACAAGGTGTCTTACCAGGGAAGATCTTAACCTGCGTCTGTGTCCGGTAGGAGAATCATGGAGACTCCCTGACTCAGCTTCTTTCTCCCAGCATTCTGTTCTGTTTACTCCGCCTACCTAATTTTAAGAATCATGGAGACTCCCTGACTCAGCTTCTTTCTCCCAGCATTCTGTTCTGTTTACTCCGCCTACCTAATTTTATGTCCTATTAAAGGGGCAAGGCAGTCTCTTTATTTAACCAATGAAATTAACACAAAACAGAAGACTCTCCCCCATCAGGACCCTAAGATTATGGCACTCATAGGAATATCTCCAAATAAAATGGAAAGACATATACATAAATCACATCACAGAAATAATAAATATAAAAAGGCAAGGTATCATGACTCCTTCAACATACCATAATTTGTCCACCACTGATTTAAAGACAATGTGATACTCTTCAAAACTGTTTGATAAATCGAGAAAGCAAAGTGTTAATTTATTCTTCAAAGTCGGTATTGCTCTGATATCAACTGGATAAGGACATAAAACAATAAAACACAAATGCACATCCATGCACAGAGAGGGAGACAGAGAAAGAGAAACAGAGAAAGATCTATAGACCAGTTTCTCTGGTGAACAGAGACAAAATTCTTACAAATCACACTCTTGTGAATATACTAAGAATCACACATAGGGGCTGGGAAGATGGCTCAGTGGCCATGAGTCATAACAGAAGGCCCAGATTCGCAGCACCTATGAGATGGCTCACAATCATCTACCACTTCCAGCAAGTAAGATGCCCTCTTCTGGCCACTGCAGGGCACCAGGCATGTCCATGTTACTCATACATACATGCCACACACATTCATATGCATAAAACGAAAGTAAATTATTTTTTAAAAAAATTATAAAAACAGTCATACATCTATTATGACCAAGTAGGTCTTACCCCAGGCGAGGAATGAAAGGTTGGTTCAACATACTAAGGCAACAGACAGAGACTTAAAAGACAAAAATAACATCATCGTCTCAATAGATGAAGAAAGACCTTTGACAAAGTTCAACATCCCTCCTGATAAAGCTCTTAAAAATAGAAATAAAAAGAATATATTAAAGATTATATACAATAATTTTACAAACAAAATATTAAATGGAGAAAAACTGAAAACTTTCCCCTGATATCAGGAATGAGAAAAGAGGGTCCACTCTCGCTGTTCTTATTCAATATAATTCCTGAAGTCTTAACTAGAGCAAAAATGTAAGAGAAAGAAACTAAAATGAATACAGAGGGAAGAGGAAGAAGTCAAGGTGCCACTATTTGCAGATGACATACTCCAATAGTTAAATAGCCTGATGACTTCACCTGAAAACCCTTAGATCTCATAAACACTTTCAGAAGCGTCTCATGGTATAAAGTAAACACAGACCACTCAGTAGCCTTTCTGTAGGCAAATCGAAACATTCCCAAGATCCAAGCAAGGAAAGGATCATATTCACAGCTTCAGGCACTTTTCCAAAGAGATGAAAGACCTCTGTGTTAGAACTGAAGAAGTCAATCGAAGATACTTTCCAGGCTTCCCGTGTTCAAGAGTAGGAAGAAGACATTGGAAAAATGGCTATCTAGCCAAAAGCAATCCGCAGATTAAAAATAAACCCCATCAAATCCCAACAAAATTCTTCACAAGACAAGGAAAATTAATTCTGAAATTCTCATGGAATCACAAAATTCCTGACTATCAAATGGTTATTGGACAACACAGTACTGAAGGTATCACCATATTCTCACTCAAGACTCCTCTATACTGCAGAGCCATAGCAGCTAAAACAGCATATAATAACATAAAGAAAGACATGTGCAAACACCAGAATAAAGGATACAGCAATCGTGCAGAAATGTAGTCACCTATTTTTTGATAAAGATATTAAAGTATATTTGGGAAAATGGCAGAGTCTTCAACAAACGGTGCTGGAGAAACTGAAGATCTATCTTTTTATCTGTTCTTATATAGGAATGGGACTCAGTCACTATCTCTTACACTGTACAAACATCAATTCAAAGTTAACCAAAGATGATGGAGGAAGGTCATTGGTTAATTAAATAAAGAAACTGCTTGCCCTGATAGGTTAGAACATAGGTGGGTGGAGTAAACAGAACAGAATGCTGGGAGGAAGAGGAAGTAAGTTCAGAGACGCCATGCTCCCCTCTCCCAGGCAGACGCGATAGCTCTGCTCTCTGAGATGCATGCGATGAAGCAAGCTGCCAGGTCAGACATGCCGAATCTTTCCCGGTAAGACCGGTGCTACACAGTTTATTAGAAATGGGTTGATCGGGATATCAGAATTAGCCAGTAAGGGCTAGAGCTAATGGGCCAAACAGTGTTTAAAAGAATACAGTGTCCATGTAATTATTTCGGGGCACGAGCTAGCAGGCAGCCGGGGTTTTGGGGACGCAGCCCCACCGCTCCTATTACTACAAAAAGACTTTAATTTAATACCTGAATCCTTGAAACGGCTAGACACACCAATAAGGAGCATAGACAAGGTCTTTCTGAAAAAATAATCTAACAGCCCAGAAAATGACTCTACGAATTGGTAAATGGGATTCTAAAACATTAAAAAAGCTTCTAACAGCCCAGAAAATAACTCTTAAGAGTTTGTCTATGGGATTCTAAAAAATTAAAAAGCTCTTGTAAAGCCAGAAAAACCATCACAAGAATGAGAAAAATCTTCATAAACTACATAGTTCCCACAGGATTAATATCCAGGTTATTGAAAGTATTTAAAAATTGAATACCAATAAAACCAAGTCATTCAGTGAATAAAGAAATCGAGCTCATGGACAGAATAAACAGTTCAAAAGTAAAACTCGAAGTGGCCATTAAATATGAAGAGGACTCAGCATGCTTAGCCATTAGGGAAATGTACATTAAAAGCAGTTTATTTTTTTTTCCTTTTTATTTATTTATTTATTTATTAAAGATTTCTGTCTCTTCCCAGCCACTGCCTCCCATTTCCCTCCCCCTCCCCTAATTAAGTCCCCCCCCCTCAGCCCGAAAAGCAATCAGGGTTCCCTGTCCTGTGGGAAGTCCAAGGAACCCCCCACCTC